ACGTCAAGACATGGCAATTATGAACACTCAATGAACAGCAGCATGAAGTTGAAAGCAGAGACCTCCCGGACTAACTCAGAAGAGTTCGCGCTTCCCTGCTGTGGTCCCGGGGTTGAGAGCGAGAGTACATCTCCCGCAGCGACCTTCGAATGGCGTTTTGAGTAATTCAGAGCTATGATTCAGAGCGTAGTAGAGAGTGCGGCATAATCAGAGCCGCCATTCAGAGCATTATTAATCAGCTATCAGCAAGATAATTACTGGTTCTGTACTTATGTGTGAAGTTTACGATGTCGTTTTAAGTATTCAGCTTGTAAAAAGTTGCATATCGTAGTGCAGGGTACAGACCCGTACCAACATACTGCTCACAGCTACGACTACTAATAGGCCGCCCAAAAACGAATGGCTAGGGAGTTGAAAGCGACCTATGGAAGGACGAGCGCGAGACGATCACGCGCCAAGCCTGTCGGACTAACCTTGACTACTGATATCTCGTACTCTGTAGCCGTAGATACAATACTCAGGTCAATAGTCAGAATATACATGCATATCCAGACATTAACGGGGAACCTGAGCAGTGTAACGGCTAGAGATGAGTGTGCCTGAAAGGAGTGCGTTGAGGGACTTCGACCGCGCAACGTCCTACAACAAGTTAAGCAGCGCTGCCAGCCTATGATGCCGTGCGACCGAATCCACAGGACCGGCGGGCACGCATCCATAGCTGCAGCAAACAGGCCAGAATTTTAAGCAGGAGGCAGCAAAGAGGCAGACAATGGGACGGGAAGAAAACGCGCAGGACTTAGCATGGGGGTCGTCACAGATGGGGGCGCCAGAGAGCGACCAGCCGTTGCATTTCGGCCCGTGTTCCATTTCCGTGGGTCCTACGGCGTTTTCACTATAAGCTCTCAAACATAAAAAAGTTCTAAAACATAAGGAAAGAAATCGACTAATACTAGTATAGAAGTATGGAAAATGTTAAAATATGGTACGGAAAATATGTACGCGATGAGTATTGATACATTTCATAAGTGGAGAGTGTGGACTATAAAATTTTCACGAGGACCGGTCTTTTATCGAGAGATGAAATCACGTAGCTTTTGGAGGAAAGTATTTTATTTTTTATTTTATGCCTTGGTGAAAGAGTGATTTTAAAGTAATGAGGCTTAACAATTTAGAGAGAGAGCTTAGCGAGGCGCGGATATAGGAACATCACGCCCCCCATCATCCCCCTTCAATCAGCCCCCCGCCATAATGTAATGATGTCACTGCACGGCCCTATCATCAGTGTGTTTGTTTGGCTGCCAGCACGAGAATGAAGTCTATCGATGTATTCGGCGAGGAGCGACGAGGAACGATAAAGGGGAGCAGCCAAAAATTGAAATCAATGATGGGCCACCTGAAAAAAAAAGTTTAGTGATGGAGGCCTTGCTTAAGGAGCGATATCCAACAATCGAGATGAGAGAGGCGAGTGAAATGCTTAAGCCAACAAGACAGTTTATAAGCGCGAGCGTCAACAGTAGACGCTGTCCGCTCATGTCCGTTAATGGCTGATCCTACTAGTCCCGTTGGCAACGGTACCAGGGCCTATAGTACTAGGAGGACTTAATAGACACAATACGCTCCTTACATCCTTGTCGGGTTATCATAATTGGATCTCAAGGCTATGCGTCAGGTTGCCCTTGAAACATTTATGTTTACAGGTGCTAGCCGGTGCCACTTTAGTAATGAGAATTCAGTGGCCAAAATGGATTTCTCAGTGGCCCGAGTGCTAATTATTAATAAGTGTTTGTATCCTAACTATGTAATGTTTTTGCAAAAATGCGGCAATACGGACAGTAGCTAGATACGACACAAACAAAGAAGAACAAGAACCGACTGAGTCAATATATTGCCCAAATATTAGAAAAGCTATTCAAATTCTCAGTGCAGTAATCTTCATAATTAGCAAAACTAGAGGTCATTTAAGTATTCAATACCAAAACTGCCTCCAATCATCAATTGTCAGTGGACGTCCATCCTGAACACTTCTAAATCAGAATCAATTTCGACATGGGGTCAGACACCATCAGAGCTAATCAATGAAAATAAAATCATATCGTATAAGATCAAAGATGGAGAACAAGCACTCTGCTATGTACGCACTATCTGAACATCGTGGAGAAATGAATGTAGGCAAATAGAACCCACACATTTGATGAGTAGGCAATATAGATTGCACTGCACTACTGTTTTGCGATTTAGGCCAAGTAAGGCATTGTTCCCTTGGTGCGATTCCACATTCTCCAAAGAATCTGCATCAGAAAGCCACACAGTAGCAGGCACAACACACAAGCTGAAGAGCGCACAGATGGGCAACGACGCGACACACGACCCAACACACACACACACAAACAAGCGCGTCAACACACGCGGACACAGGTCTGGCGGAGCAAGGGACGGGCCACGACTTCAGGATCATATTTACCAGTCAGTATTTTATACATCTCAATCATGTTGGGCCTGACTCGCCTATAGGCTAGAGTTGGGAGCCTGAGTTGCCGGAGACGATCATCATAGGAGAAATCTGCCATACCAGGGATTTGCTTGGTTGCACGCCTCTGAACATTTTCGATTGCTTCTATGTGTTTCACTAGATGGGGAGCCCATATCTGATTTGCGTACTCCAGGTGAGGGCGTACAAGACCAGTGTATAATAATTTAAAAGTTTTCACATCCATGTATTCCATAGTGCGCCTAATCAGCCCCATGATCGAGTTAGCTTTGTTAACCTTTTCAGTAATAGCAAACATAAATAGCAAAACATATGCAACAACACGTGAATACTAAAAGCACAGCTACACTTCACAATAAAGTACACACCAGACAAATAATGCTGATAGTGATAATAATGCTCTGAATGCGCTCTGATATGCCCACCTCTCTATACCACTGATCTCTATAATATAATCTAGGTCTCAATAATAACTGATAATCAATAACTGATCTCAATAATAATTATATTATAGAGATCAGTGCTCTATACGCTCTGAATACTCAAACCGCCATCGAAGTGCGCGGGAAATGACGTCACCGGAACCACAGCAGGAAGCGGAACCTCTTCTGAGTAGTCCGCGAGGTTCTGTTCAACTTCATCTGCTGTTCATGGTTCATCATTGCCATGTCAGCGTAATACGAGCATGTTATAGGTATTTTATAAGTTGTACCTATTAACAATATGTTGTACAAACCACCAAAAGGCCCGCGGTTTACATTACCGGCAAAACTTGTGACTGGCTTCCTTGGACTTGAGTTTGCGGTGCTAGTCGGCTCTTATTTCTGGTACAGAAACATGGTATATGATGAAAGTGAGTAGGGGCCTACGGCACAGGCACGTGGAGCGTCTCAATAAAATATAATACTAAATAAATACGAAATCTATTTACTACCAAAGTTTTCTATACTCTCTTTCACCTATTATTGCCCACAATTTCTTGCAAATGCCGCCCAAATGCTCATCTGCAACAAACACTCAGTGACTCACTGGCTGCCGCTGCACACTGACACAAATATATAATTTATAAATTATAATATAACTGGGCTTATATTATTATATATATTTGACATATATACATATTACATATACATTTATGTGTCAGTGTGCGGCGGCAGCCAGTGTTTGTTGCAGATGGGCATTTGCAGGAAATTGTCGGCAATAATAATTAATATTAATACTAATAGGTGAAAGAGAGTATAGAAACATTAAGACTTTGGTAGTAAATAGATTTTGTATTTATTAGCTCATCTGACTATAAGTCAGATGCAGCTTGTAGAATCGCATGATCGTTCGTCCGTCAACAGTTGGGCACAAATCTTGACCGCTCTACGTACGGTCACGATATTCGGGACGTCTGGGGGGATCGTGAAAAGGACTGGGATGACCAATTTGGGGGTCAAAGGTCAAGATGTGTAAACGGAGGGGGAATATTTCCCACTTAACTTAAAGCCTCACAATGCGCATCCAAATGCTAATTTCTACAGTACTAGACTAGCAAATACTTCGTGGCATGAATAATCACACTACCTTATGACAAAATAAACTCTAGTGCCTCCCATTTCACTGCGCGTTGTCTTATAAAGGTATTTGAAAATATCTCCACTGTTGTTCAAATTCTCCGATGTTGTTGACACGTTTGCGTTGCTCTGCCAGGCAACCGTCCAGCGGGTGTAGCAAAGATTTCTACGGCCCGTGTGCGTTTTTCGCTTGCACGCTGCTAGCGCAATGTTCGCGCTGTTAGCGATATCAAGCCTAAAATCAATACGTTATTTTCACGTTTATTACGCTGCCTATAAATACTTTCCTAATAGTCTTTGATGTTACATATACAGCAGTTCACAATACTACAACTATCTTATGCACTGTCGCCACTATGCAAACAGTTTACCCGGGACAAACAATTCCTTGCTCAACACCCTGTAGTAACATGTGACGTCACCAAACCAAGTCGATGCTATGTTGTTTGAAACAATTTAGCGTTGGCGCCTGATTACCTGATTTCGCACCTCTTTCTTGTTGGGAACGCGCAGTCAAATGGGAGGAACTAGAGTTTATTTTGTCATAAGGTAGTGTGATTATGCATGCCACAAAGTAGTTGCTAGTCTAGTACTGGAGAAATTTCAGCGTTTGGATGCGCATTGTGAGGCTTTAAGGTATAGGAGGAAATACGAAATTGCAGCACAAATCTTAACGGCTCAATGTATGCTCTTAATATTCGGTGTATAGTGTGATGGGCAGGAAACCCATCACCAGTGTGAAATTGGAGGTCACAGGTCAAAGGGCAGTGGGTGAAAGGTCAGATATCAGACATTTTCTGAGGACATGGCCTAATGGACAGAGTGAAAAACTTTTTTGTTTCAGTGCTAACCTACCATTTTTATCACTTTATTGAAAGGACCATGAAATGTGCTTTCCACTGACGTGCGAAGAGTAAGTGTCTGATAACCTTTTGACTCTGAAAGGGAGGGTTTAACATGGATTTGTTGACTGTTAACAAAGGACTGAACTGCTTTTGCTATTATTAGAGCCCATACCTGTGTGGATGTGAGGCTACATTTGCAGTTCAATTGCAAAGACAAAAGTTTGTTGAACAAGGTTTACACTCCTTAAATCATATTATTTTCTAAAGCAGTCTGTATATTAATAGCACCCTGAATGCTCGCGTGGCTACCGGCATCCGAAATGTAGGCAAAAAACCGGGGCAACCCATTACTTATGCATGGGGGTGAACTGGCACTTTTCTAATAAACATGCACACCTGCAATGCAGATGTGTTTAATTTTTACTCACAGCTGAGCAAAATTGTTGCCTGCCTGAATATACTTGGATTTTAGCTAGTAAATTTCAGCAATTCAATGGAATTAGGTTATCTCTACTTTCTTGACTTATCACCAATGCACGAAGGGCGATGCCATCTTTGATTATTGATTACACTTGCATGCGCCATCTCGCGGCAACTATAGGCCTAGTGATACGTACATTATGACACGAATATATAAGACAGTCGAGCAGGTATGAAGTAGGATGCATTGTTAGGGTTTTGTTTTAGTGTTAATACCTATGCTACACAGTTTTGATGATGACGTAGCCGGTTTAGCGATAGAACAGGCTTTCAACCTTTTGCAGAAACGAAGGCCAGTACAGTAGAGCAGCAGACCTCAGATGAGCACTGTCGCTAATGCGGCACTTGTTTAGCATTATATTTTATTGAAACGCTCCAAGTGCCTATGAGTACGTGGGTTGTGTTGTCATATTACTACTACTGGCTACTCATAGTCATACCTCTCATTGTTAGCACAGTCCCTTTGGGCTTTTAGACTAGACTCAAGTCTAGTTCAGTAGTTGAGACTGAGGTATGTCATTGACATTGTCAATGACAATGTCACTGTCAGTGCAGTGTAGTACTAGTAGTAGTACTTACTGAGTTAATCACTCAAGTTACTGTTTCAAACAAGCTAGTTAAAATTTTAGTTTCTCTATGCAGTTTGCTTTTACATTTTGCTAAGAAGAGTAATATTTCACAACATTCTAATCAATTTTGCATAATGAAACATTATTTTGGTAACTAACTAATATCTAGTGTCGTCCAAGGAATCGCAATCAATCACCGTGTTTCACTACATACAGTACTGCATGGGCCAGCTTGGCGCGGCTAGCAGCAATGGCTCAGGTAAATTTACAATGAGCGGGCCGGTACGCAAGACTGGTAGCGTGCCAGAATGGCCGAGCATCTAATTTCTCACCACCCCGTTGAACCACTAAATGTTTTAAAACACAAAGTACATGAATACACTGTGAATACCCTATACTTTCTGAATTCGAGTGAAACTACTTTGTCTCTGCGGATTTACAGCCTGAAATAAGCATTTTTTTTATCGAAAATCTCGAATAATTTTTGATTTAATTAACTAGAAGAGTAGTTTCAAATGGATGGATTGGACGTTATCAGTCACCTTTCATTTGAGATTGATTTTTGGACTAATTCCCGAAACTAATTTTTATGTAGGAACTCAGATCTGCCATATGTAACTTTCATAGTTTCAAAGTAACCTACATCATGCTCTTTTGTTATTTCAGCATACAGAAAAAAGATGCATGACAAATACCCAGGAATTTCGAATTGTAAGCAAATTATTATATATTATGACCTGTACAGTGTATCCATATGTTTATTAGTTTCATGCGTGATGATCTTGTTTTAAAGTACGCAATTGTATTTTTAGGTAGTAATATTCTGATTACTTAAGGTTATTAAGGATTGCTTGTTTAGCCTTCCAAGCTGATTAGTTTGTTTGTGTGCATTTCATGATTAAGCTGTACTTGGTTGTCACGCTCGTAGGGTCTATGTCCCCCTGCCCTCTGTTTGACCTGGCTCGTTTAGCTATTTCTGACTAACACCAACCCTAACCCTAACTCTATATATATTATATATTATATATATATTATATATATATTATATTAGTCAGAAATAGCTAAACGAGCCAGGTCAAACAGAGGTCAGGGGGACATAGACCTTATCTGCGGTTGTCACACTTACCAAGGAATGCTGCTTAGCGTCGTGATCAAAATGAAATTTTTTTGAACGACAAACATCAATAGCAGATAATTATAAAGAAATAACTTTGTTTGTTGTAGCAAATCTGTAAGACACTTACAATTATTTAAAACACTGAAAACGGATTAAATGTTAAGCAGCAGTATCATGCCAATATTTTAGAGACGGTCAGTTATGCGATAGAGTTGCTGTTCGCGCCATTTTATGCAGCAACCAGTGGCCGATCATGCAAGTTGGACCAATTGGCAATTGCAAGCGCTATTTTTAGCTTCCGTAATTGTAATAATGGTAATGCTAAATATAAGAGATTTGTTTGTGTTTCAGTGTTCTACAAGGCGTGTGAATGGACAGGTGACGTACAACTAAAAGACAGGCGCACGAAGGACTATCTGATGTGGGGGTTGACAGAGCCTATCAACGAAAAGCCATAGTGATCAATGATTTTGCTTCCTGGTTTTACACTGGAACTCGTGTATTTCAGTGGCATATTTGTAGCGTGTGTTAAACAAACTATGTGCAGTTGATTTGAAACTGAACTTGGAGACCAGTGATTGACAATGGCAATGTTCAGAGGTGTCCTGATTGGAAGCAGCTCCACAGCGCTTCTCTGCACGTTGGGGTTCTATACCTACAGTCACAGCATTCAGCAGGCAGCCACTACCAGGCCGGCGAGCAGTCCTTTAGACTTGCAGGGAACAAGTTATCACGTCACGAGCGATGAACAAGCGGTGAGACAACGTGGAAGTGAAATACTCAAGTACGGTATTCCGGATCGCGGGCCCATGGTCAGCTACTATGCCAACCACGTTCTCTCGTATGATCAGGCGAAGCGCACTCCTCTCTGGGTGGCAGAGCATATACAGCCTCATCACGTTAAGGTCTGTACAAGTCTGTATATATATCAGTCTGTACTTGTTTTTTATGTATTGTTGTGCGTGCAATTTTCACTGGAAATATACTGTAAATAGTTTAGCTATTGAATGACTTTAAACTAATGAATCTCAGAAGGTTAATTGCAACTTGATATTATATGTTATAACCAATGTTAGTAGTATAATCTGACACCTTTCTTCACATAAATTAGGGTTCAGCTGATCGCAAAAGAACAAACTTCAATCCAGACCCTGCCGTTCCGACGATGTTTTCAGCTACGAACGATGATTACCGGAAAAGTGGCTGGTCGCGTGGACATATGGCACCAGCTGCAGATAACAAACACGATCAGATAGCGATGGAAGAGACATTCTACTTGACCAATATACTTCCTCAGGACATGGATAATAACAGTGGATTTTGGAACAGGTATATATATGCTTTATCTATCAAAGGTTGCCAAGTTCTCCCCAGGAATTTCAGAAAACGTCATTTGTGGATGGATGGAGGAGGGCTCTGAAGGGTGATGAACCAATAAATAAGAGTCAATTACGCGTGTCATTAGCGACTCACAGATAAACTGTACCAGTTCAGAGATGTATACATAAATATGTGAAAACATGATTTTGTTGGGATAGTCAAAAGTAAAACAGCTGTATAATTAGGATATGTCGATAAGGTAATGTCCAAGGATTTATGGGACGTCGCAAATTAGCTTCAGATTTGAAGGCAATATCAGATGCAACATGCATTAAATGTCTGTGGAGAACCCCGGGCTGTATGTTTTCCTATATATCGTAATATCTTTAAAGCCGCACTATGCGCATCCAAACGCTAATTTCTCCAGTACTAGACTAGCAAATACTTCGTGTCATGCATAATCACACTACCTTATGACAAAATAAACTAGTTGCTCCCATTTCACTGCGCGTTTGCTTAAACCCCACAAGAAAGAGGTGAGAAAACTGATTGATTACGATATGATTTTATTTTATGATTAGACTCTGATGGGTCTGACCCCATGTCAGAAATTGATTCTGATTCATCAGAAGGTTCAGATGACAGTCACACTGACATTGAATGATTGAAGGACAGTTTTGATTGACATCTTAATGACATAAGTTCTGCTACTTAATAAAGATACTGCCAGAGAATTTGAAAGCTTTTTAATATTTGGGAACATATTGAACTCAGTCAAGCTTTTGTTCTTTCTTTGTTGTTGTCGTAATCTAGCTATGTTATTGCGATTATTTGCCAAAACACATTACCCATAGTTAGGATACAAACAAATTATTTAATAAATGTAGCAACTGGGCCACCTGAAAATCCATTTGGCCACCTGAATCTCATACTAAAGTGGCCCGGCCGGCCACCTGAAAAAAAAGTTAAGGGCAACCCCTGAGTAGCCTTAGATACAATAATGTAACCCGACAAGAGTAGGGGTCTGGGCTAGCTCTAGTAACTATAGCCCGCGTACAGTTGCCGCGGGACTATAGGATCAGCCATTACGGATGCGCGGGACAAACTTACTCGCGACGCCTCGCGACTATAAAACGTCTGTGGTAAGCAATTAATGCCTCTTATCCGACGTGAATATGTCTTAAGCAAGGCTCCACACTAACTTTTTTTTCAGTGGCCCATCATTGATTTTCAATTTTTGGTGGCCTGAAAATGAAATCAGGTGGCCCGAAAAAAACAACATGAAGGGCGATGAAAAATCATTATGGGGGTGATGAAGGGGGATGATGGGGGGGTGATGTATCGCGCGTAGGCTAATATCATTAAATTGTTTAAGCCTAAAATTACCTTTAAATCGCTTTTTCACAAGGCATAAAATAAAAAAATAAAAATATTTCCCTCAAAATTCATCCTTTGAGATTTAAATCGATAAAAAGGGGAAAAAAATTTTATGTGCACAAATTACCACCTTATGAAAATGTATCAATACAATCCGCGTACTATTTCGTATCAATATTTTATAAAATTTTCCATTAAATAATAGTCCGATTTTTCTTATGTTTAGAACTTTTTATGTTTGGAACTTATAGTGAAAACGCCTAAGACCACACGGAAATGGAACCACGGCGAAATCAAAAGCGTCGCTCTCGCCCCCCCATCTGTACGACCCCCCATGTAAGTCGCGAGTTCCTCCCACGTCCCAAATGTCTGCCCTCTGTGTCCCCCGCTAAAATTCTGGACTGTTTGCTGGCAGCTATGGATGCGTGCGCCGGCCTGTGGATTCGGCGCACGCATCCATAGCTGGCAGCGCTGCATACTGTTGTAGGACGTTGCCGCGGTCGCAACGTCCTCAACACCTCCTTTCGGCAACACTTCTCTGGTATCCCGTCTCATCTGGATTACAACTTACATTATGATTATCATGTATTGACTATTGACTATATTGTATCTACAGACTACAGAGTTACGAGTACAGTAGTCAGTAGCCCGACCAGGCTGTGCGACGGATCGTCTAGTAGTAGTATAGGTATTCTAACCCTAGCAATACCGTTTCTTGGGGCCCCTAAGTTAATAGTACTAGTAGTCAGTAGCCTGTGGCTGTACCGGGTTGTACCGGCAACAAACATATGCAACAACACGTGAATACTAAAAGCACAGCTACACTTCACAATAAAGTACACACCAGACAAATAATGCTGATAGTGATAATAATGCTCTGAATGCGCTCTGATATGCCCACCTCTCTATACGCTCTGAATACTCAAACCGCCATCGAAGTGCGCGG